GAATGGCATCGCCCTTCAGTTGGCAAATTTTGATTATTGTCCGCTGGATGAGTGGGAAGGGTGGAAAGAGATACAAGAGAACAGCGTCCCACTGCACCATAAAGGCATCTCCCCAGGATCCCCTGCCTTTGCCTGCTTGGGAGCAAAACTGTTCACACTTCGTGTTGAACTGCATCGTGAAAATGTCGATGGTCCGGTGTGCCCCATCTGTTGCAGATGTGTTTGAATACCGAGTTGCTGAGGGTCCATTTGAGCATCTGAGAGCTCAGATGGCTCAGACAATCAGTCACATCACTGTCTTCTGTCGCCACATGGATGGCAATTGGAAATAAGTGATGGTTGTAGCACCACTCCCAGAGGTGGATCGACAGGTATAGAAGGGACAAAGAACGAGTGCCTCCCTGCTTGTTTATGTAGTGCAAAGTGGTAACCACTTGTGCTCTGTGACTGATCAGTAATGGATGGAAAGCTCTGAAGGCTTTGATAACTCTTAACATTTCCAGATGATTGATATGCAACAGCTTCTCCAAGCTGGACCACTTGGCATGAATCTTGTGAATGCCACAGTGTGCGCCCCATCCTATCGTACTGACATCTGTTGTAACTTGAACAGTCAATTGAGGGGGCCTGAAAGGTCGACCAATCAGCAGATGAGGCACAAAGGTCCACCATGTTAGTTGACGTGCCAATTCTGGGGTGACCTGGAGAAGCCTTGCAGGGTTGTCTAGCAGAAGACTGAATTGGGAGATGTACCACGCCTGCAAAGAGCTCATCTTCAGCCAATGCATGTGGAAGCACAGATGTGGTAGAAGCCATCAGACCCAAGAGATGTTGAGTGTGATGTGCTGTTACTCTGGTGCTGGGTCGAAAAGGATGGATAGCACACTGTAATTTGTGGATCCTTTTGGCCGGAAGAAAGATTCTGGCTCTGTTGGAGTCCAGAACTGCGCCTATATAGTCCATGGTCTGTGACGGTATGAGATGGGACTTTGAAATTTTGACTTGAAGGCCTAATTCTGTCAGTGTTTGCAATGTGGAAGCCGTGTCCTCTTGTGCCTTGGCATAAGAGCCAGCAACGATCAACCAGTCGTCTATATATGGGAAAACCATGATGTTGTTGAGATGAAGGTAGGCTGCTACTGGAGCTAGGCACTTTGTGAAAGTGCTTGGGGTGGTGGCATGGTCGAATGGGAGGGAGCAGAATTGGTATACTGATTCCATGAAAGAGCAGAGAAGAAAGAGCTTGCACCCAGGATTCTTTAATGAGGTCTAGCATCGCCGGTATGAAGGCTAAGCTCAGAGGAGATGATCTCTCCTGATTAATATCCTCAAACACTAGCTCGTGTTTTTGGGGTGGAGGCTAATCTATATTCAGCTCCAATGATTTAGCCATATGCATGATTAATTGCAAGTATGACGTGAAATCCTGAGAAGGAGAGGGAGGATGCATATCAGCAGCATCCGAGTCAGGAGTGGGCATTTGAGGGCAATTCCTTGGATGCCTCTGACTGGAGGTCTTGTTCGGACTCAGACAACACTGAGGAACTCCTTAATTCTCTACCAAAGGATAGAGGTGGTGAAGGTGAGTGGTGGTGGGATCTTGACATGGAGGCTGTAGGTCGTGCAAGAGGTGCAGCCACTTTTACCTCAGGTGGATGTATGGATCTGAGTATGTGCTTTAGTATGCGATACCGGAGGTAAAGGTACCAACAGAGCTCTAGGGTGCTTTTCTGGTTGAAAAGCACGTTGGTCCTGATGCTGTCGCTTGGACGGAGGTTTCGCGGCCATTGGGTCGAGCTTGAGATATGCTCAATGCCGACGCCAAGGTGAGGGCAACAACGATGATTCTGATGACGCATACACGTATCAAACCCTCTTTGGTCTAATATAGTCCCCGGTATCATAGGCAGGATTGATGTCGTATTGTTGATATCGATGTTGGCCGACACGTGGGTCCATTTCAACATACAGTGGCTCTTCATATTCAGCCAAAGTATGACGGATGCAGGAGCAAAGTAGCCTCCCGATGTCGAAGGAGCTGTCGGTCAGGAGAGATGTGCCGACGCTTCGACAGATGTTTCTGAGGAGAAGTATGTTGTGGCAACTCCTCCGGTTCCAACAATTGAGCAACTGCTGCCTACCCAATAGTTATAGGGCTCGAATGGGCTGAGGCCGGGCTGGAAATAATCTCAACCTCAGAATGGCCTTGTGTCAGAGACAGGCTCGGCACCGATACCGACGCGTGTGTTTGTGGTTGTGGACAAAAACCCTCTTCCTCCGAAGTCAAATCCTAGATCTCCCTAGAAGGCTCCTCTAGTATAGACAAGGGCAGACTTACTCAAACCAGAGAAGGTTCGGTATGTTGCACCAACTTGGGATGCTTAGGCATCTTTTCTTTGACAACTTCTTTCCTCTTTTTAGGGTCCTTGACAGATGCCTTTGATACAGATGTTGAGCTCAGTGCCGAAGATTTCTTTGACTTTGAAAGTTTTGAAGATGCCTTGAGAGGACAGAGTAGCCTGTGCCGGCGAAGCAGCAGGGTTGGGGCGAGGAGTCAGAGGAGCAGATGTAAAGGTAGGCTCCATAGTTGTCGGACCCGATGGTCTCAATGTCTTTTCCCACAGATAAGAGCGTAGTTGTTGCAAACATAAATTTTAAGGCTGGTTTAGTCAATTTTTTACTCTATTGACAGGACCTGGGCTGATGTCTTTCTCCCAAACAAAAGAGGCAGTGGTCTTGGCCGTCTGTGAACTGGATTTTATTCGCACACAATGCACACTGTTTGAACAGGCCTGAAGAGGCCATAAAATTTGGTGGTGACCTGACAGATAGTAATGATCAAAAGAACTCACAGGAGACATTAACAGATAGTTTGATTGCAGTCCTAGTCAAGCCGAAATATCAGTCCGAGAAATCGAATCAAGTAAATCCAATAATACAAATCCAAATTTTAATCCAAAAACAACACAATGAACAGTCCAAGTTCAACGCCTAATAATCACAGTAATAACAGTGTAGAATCAGAGAGAATAGAAGGTCAGGACAGTCCGGGTCAGTTTAATTGTTATCAAAAACAATCCGCAGGTCAATACCACAATTTTTTTACGCAAGAATTGGCTCAAGCGATTTGAAGTAGTCTGATTGCAGCAGTGGCAAAAAGGAACTGAGGTACCAGCGGGCAGAGCATGCACGATACAGGGAGACGTTTCACTTGCAGTTATTTTAGCTCTAGAATATTCCAAAGACTCCTGCGCAGGCACAGTTTAACCCATTTGTGTGTATTCACAGAGACTTGCTGGTTTACTTTAACATTATATTAACATTTTTAATTCGTGTTGACTTAATAGCCCAAGGATCAGAGGTTTCTAAGGAATATGGTTCAGTTTTTTTTTTACTGGTTCTCATTCTAAGTTAATCCTCTATCTCAAAAGCAATTTTAATGAAGGAAGCTGAACACAAATCTTCTACAGATTAATAGCAATCAGTATATGTCTTTGGATTTGCCAAATCACGTTCAGAGTAACTCTCTTGAAATTTTGAAGAGGAGCAGATAACACAGTTGTCTCTGAGCATAAAAAAATATATCTGTTTAGGATTCGATGCTGAAGAAAACTACAGATGATGAGTGAATTTTTAAACTGATAGTTTTTGAAAATGCACTCTGCCTCAGCTACCAGTTTTTGACCTGATATAAGAAATCACTGTGTGTGTATATATATAATACACACAATGATCTCTTATATATAATCAGCCATTTCTAGACCAACTTCGTCTATTGTTGTTAGGTTATAAGCCTGTCTGCAACTGACTCAGTGTGTGGTTTGTTCTCCTGGCCGCTGTTTTAGAAACATCATCTTTTCTATTTTGCCTTTAGACTTGCCCTGAATGGAATTTTAGGCCAGTTCCTCCCTGCTGGGCCAAATGAGGTTCTCAGGTTAGGGACAACTTTAATGGCATAACTTCTTCTGAATGACTATTTGGTTCCTTAGATTAAAGGCTGCAAATGAGCCTGCTGCTTCACTGTAAGGTGGAGAGTCACCTCAATAGTGCTCATAAGGGTGTACCGTCCATCTCTCAGGCCAAGAAGGAAGCAGAAGAGACAGGAGTTATTGAAAGGGGGTTACAACAACTAGAAATAAGAGAAAAGACAGAAGTGGGCACTAATCAGGCGGGGAAGGGGGAAAATAAATAGGGGGAAGAGGAAGAGAGAGGGGCAGAGACATTTTGGGGAGTGGAGAAGAAAACGTAGAAAAAGGAAGAGCTAGTAGAATAGATTCAGGAGGATCCAAGAGTGGGTGGAATTTCGAGTACCTCGTGAGTACGCAGAGAGAGAATGGAAAGACAGGTCTACACAAAGCAACCTTACTGGGGTGAGACTGAGGACAGAGAAAGGAAAGCTTGGGTAAAAAGAGAGGAACAAAGAATGGAACAGCAGAAATGTATAGTGAGCCCTGGAAGATCCCGTGGGCCCAGCCATTTCAGGCTCCGGAAGAGACAGAACTGGAAGAGACAGAACCCAGGCTTGCCAAAGAGGGAGCCTCAATGGGGCTCGGTTTACCCTCCTCAGGGTTGGAGCTAATGGACAACACACCAAAAATGTTGGCCGCCAAACCGAAGTGGGTTCAAGAAGTTACTAGTTCTTCACCATTGTCTTATCATGGAGAGTTACCCGGTTTTAACTTACAATTTGATGTTGAATTTAGAAACAGACAAGCCAATTACAAATGACATTTATAACATGTTGTACAATAAACCAGTTTTATCTGAGGACTTTGTCTACCGTCTACTTCTTTGAACAAGGACACGGAAAGGGAGGTAGGAGACAAGCGACAAGATCACATTCACTCAGGAAAATGACAGAAACCCAATAAAGCAAAATATTCGCACTACAGAGGCTAATTTTGTCTTGGCTCTTGATAACATGGTAACATATCAACATTATTTGGAATAAATCCTTAGGAAATGTGATCTACATATAGTATGAATCCCGTCTGACTTACCTCATTCTCTCTGTCAATGTTTATTTCTGAGGTTATGATGGTCATTGAAGGGCACTGCTGCACTCCTTCATTTGCGCTTATCCAGTAATAAGGCTCATCAGAATTGGCACATTCATGCTGCAGAGAGCACCTAAAATAATTAAAAATGCTTACAGTACCTGATCATTAAAAGTATTAATACTTCCCTGAAAAAAACTGCAACTGTTTTATTTGCCACGTTATTAACACTTATTTTATGTAATCAATGTGAACTCCACATCAGAATTTTAGTTTCGATAAAAATCAAAGGAAATACATTAAAATAGGGAATAGTTCATCATTTATGCTTCCCCTACGTTGGCAGGGGGAAAATAGAAGTTAACCTTTTGAACTTTTTAACAAGCTCAGAGGAGACAGCTTGTATACCAGCTAGCTATGTAATTTTCTTCTTTTATTTCAAATGGTCTATTTATGTTTATCTGATTTTCTCTTAAAATAAACTTATTCTAGTAAAGTAAATTGATTATTCTGCTTTAATTATCTTTACTATGTTTAGATTTGTTTCTTAGATAAATATTTTGTTTAAGACTTAAGCTGCTGTATTTTAAGTATAAAATGGAAGTACAAGAAATGTCTTTGAGTCTAAGAGAGATGGAGAGACTCCATTTCATCAGCCCCCCAAAATTACTCCCAGAATATGGCAACCTGGTGACAGTTTGTACCTTTGGATGTTAAACATTGGTGTGAGGTTTCAATCCATTTAAAACCATACTTATAGAAGAGAGACATCTTTTGCATCTCTAAGAGATGTTCTTCCATTAATCATCTGTGAAATCTCGTAACTGGATTCTTCCCCTAAAAAACTTTCTAAAGCTCCAGTCAGAAAGATATTGATCTCATGTCTCTTTCAGAGAGATGGGGAATGGACTAACCAGTGAAGCCAAAACAGCGTAGTTAAAAAGTAAGGGGTATTGGCAATGTGGGAGAGAAGCTGCATGTCTGCACAGATCACCATTCAAATAATGTAAATTGGCAATCGGGCTTCTAAACATTTTCTGCACTGTCTTGCATGAAGGAGTAGCCTGGTAAATGCAGCACATTTTCCTGATCTTCTTTAGGTTTCAGAAAGAACAAGGAAAAGTGTTCACAACTTGGTCTAAGTGGACGTGACAGATATCTTCAGGTAAAAAAAGTGATGTCTAGTCATCAGACTGCTTTATCTTTGGCATGGGCAAGAAAGGTGAGTTGCAATTTAGATAAAGTTAAGAGCCCATTGACCCTACTGATTCTTTTAACAGAAATCAGGAGAGCCATCTTAAATGGCAGAAATGGCTCACAACTAGAGATGGGGGTGTTCATATTTGTATACGAATATGCCCGCACAGGTGGCATTAAAGAAGGTTCAATCCATGGGGCCAGACAGTCCACTCACCAATCCGCCGCAGATGCGGACGGCACAATTCTACGAATGGCTCCACAGCATGCGATCCGCTCACCACTCTTGGCAGGAGGCGGGAGGATAAGTCTTGCTACAAGGTCGAGGAGTGGTGAACGGATTGCGTGGTGCAGAGCTATTTGTAGAATTGTGCCGTCCACCTCCGCCTTGGATCAGTGAGAGGACCGTCCGGCCCCATGTGGCTGGACCCTTGTTAACGCCATCTGTGCAGGGATATTCGTATACGAACACCCCCCATCTCTACTCACAACCATGGATTCAAATTGATTGCATTTGAATTGGACCACGCTGGACACCTTCAGTATTGATTTGCTACTTGAAGGTGAATATCTGAAGGTGAGGTGTTTTAGCAGATGAAAACCTGTTGAGTCATCAGATTATTTTCAGTTCCTACCAAAAGCTATTCAGCTGTAGAATGTACTGGACTTGGCTATATGCATCTGCAAGGCCTGTCTGTTTGAGGTAGAGAGTAGAGAGATGGGCACAAATGGGTGACCCTCCAGTGGGCACACATCCAACAGCAGCATCTCCTCCAGATGCGGTGGTTGAATGGGTGCCTGCTGGAAGGGGCAGGGCACCAAATTACAGATCAACTGTTTAGCCAGAAAATGTACTGTACTGGATCACTGAACCAGCGGTTCATGCTCATCTCTGTTTATGATACTTTCCCCGCCCTTGTTATGACCATAATTAAAGAGCTGGAGCTGAATATAACAAAGGAAATTATAAATTTGTTTTACATGTATTTTCAGTCATGGATTAAGTTGAAAGGATAAATGAGGTCTCATTACAAATAACTTTATGAACCTGTAGCAAGGCTGGAAGAATAGACTGGGCTACTGTTACTGTTATTTCTGGTTATAAACATTAGTCAGTGGATGCTGTCATGTTGGGAAAAATAACAACCTTGCATGCAACACTGGGTTTGAGTGAGAGGAGGGAGCTTTCATAAAGTAAGCTGACTACCTTTGCCCACAAAACAATTAGCAAAGTTCTTTTTCCTGCCTCTGGCTTGCCCCTCCCCTCTTCCTGTTTATTTGCATTCCTTCCATTGTTTGTTTGCTCTTTCCTTTCCTTGACTTCCAACCAATGCAGACATTTTTCTGCTCTTGACTATGTGGATAGCAGGGTGGATTTAGTCTCTCACATGGTTGAGATGCAGTTCCTTTCTTTTTCCTTTCGCTTATACTTACGAATGTAAGTGAATATCACAACTGTAAGGAAAAATATTTTGTTGCCTTAAGATATTTTAGAATGTTTTTATTATGCAAATTACAAGTTGCTGTGAATGCGGTGAACACTGAGAATTTAGGATACCTCTCACACATGTTTTTCTGCTGCCATTGCTTTTGTACGTTTTTTTTAATCTAATACTAACTAAAAGGGGGAATTACCAAAAGACCACAAGTCTGAAGTGGGACCTATAATACTGCAATAACATTTAGGCCACTTAGCCAAGTGGGAAAGGCATTCTTCCTATTTTATAACCTTTGTCTCATAGGCCAGCGAAGATACAGAGAACAAAAAGCCAGAGAGGTCAGCAATTTGCTGCTGTGAACCACCCCATTTCTTCTCACCACCTACAAAGTAGTTAAAGAATACAGATCATGGGAGAGAAACAAAGAGCTTTGAAATATTAACACCCATGGTACGTGTGTGATCTGAGACAATTGGAAGTGGAGGTAGGTGAGACATTTTTCTCCTCCTTCTCCAAAGATCCAAGTGCCTGAGTCATACTTAGAATGTGTCACACTCTGACTGCACTGCAGCCAATATTGGGCTATTTGGCCTTTCTTTTTGATACCAGTTCCTCCAACGCCACTAGGACACTTGAGATTTAATTCCAGGGGAAGATTCTGATGGCAATAAAGGGAGTATAGCAGATCCAACAGTATCCTTTGGTTGCTAACAAGTAAAAGACATTACAAATATGACATCACTTTCAAGGCTTCTTCCTACAGCTAAGTGCTCCAAGAAAGCATTTTTAGCTTCACAAAAGTAAAGAGAAAATGCTCTTCATTACATGCGAAAAAGTAACGACATTGCCAGTTGTTACATTAGTTGTAGAAGAAGCATTATTCTGCCCTTATTACGCCAGAAGGTAAGAAATTATAGGGACTTTGCTTATTTCATTCATTAGTTCCAAGCTCTGTAAATTTCACACTTTTCCCATCACAGGAGTTCTTGTGTAAGAAAAACATAATTTACAATGACCTTCTAAAATCACTGGTAGACTATACCAAAGTACCTACACACACACATCTTACATGACAAGTAAAAATATGTTATCTGTATCTCAATAGACAAACATTATGAACTGATTCATTGGTATTGTACATGTAAGAGGAGATTACACAACATGATTTAGTAAAGACACCATTGGGCAAAGCAATCCATTGGCAAGCAGTAACTTTTGGATCCCTACATGAATAATCTGATCCAATATTTGGTAGGGGGGGAGGATGTAATCATTTAGCTCACTGGTTTGCTAGACAACTCAGAAAAAGTACGTCTGGAGCTGTATGCATATGCTAACCTGGGCGACTGAAATAGCCTGGCTGACAGAAACTAAAGAAGACATTGTGAAGATTCTCAGTCATCCAGGTGAGGTTATCTGGAAGTTAAGTCATGGCAATTGAACTTCATTTGGTAGGGGGGGAGGATGTAATCATTTAGCTCACTGGTTTGCTAGACAACTCAGAAAAAGTACGTCTGGAGCTGTATGCATATGCTAACCTGGGCGACTGAAATAGCCTGGCTGACAGAAACTAAAGAAGACATTGTGAAGATTCTCAGTCATCCAGGTGAGGTTATCTGGAAGTTAAGTCATGGCAATTGAACTTCTTTCCTATTAGGCTGAAACATTTCGCAACTCATCCAGGTAGCTTCTTGACACACACTCTCTAACTGCCAGGGCAAAAGAGCTACAAAGAAGCAGCCTCATCGCCACTTACAGTTAGAAATTTGAATTACCCGCCTTTTTCCCCTGCCTTTTTCTGGTTGTAAGTAGGGGCATTCGTAAGTGGAGGCACCACTGTACAGTATATATCAGGCTAAGAAGTTCTGGGATATTTAGCCCATAACAATAATCTTTCGCAGGTGAGGTATCATGTTGCCCCCTAAAATTTCCTAGTGGAATGTCTTTTTATCATCCAAATTTTCAGTTAATCACTGCTATCACTGAAATTTTCCTAGGATCATTTTGACTTAAATGAAGCTACTTCAAAAAGGCCTTGACAAATCTCTTAATGGATCTTCTGTTTTATGGTAGAATAATAGAAATACGGATTACAAAGCATTTCTATACTGATTTTAATTAGAGATTGTACCGCTTTTTTATTCTTGTCAAACAGAATGCTGCCTGTTACTGCTTATTTCTTTCACAATATACCATTTTAATTGCTTATGAAATGCTTTTTCATAAACGATTATAGTTATAAAATATCCTTATGAAAAAAGTGTTAATTGTCTAAACAATATTTTTCAAACTCCTTTTGAATGCATTGGTTTCGGCCATGATAATTATTAGTTTAAAATAGGCTGCAAAAATTAGAAATGACTGTTGAAGACTGTGTCAACAACCGTAACAATGTCACAAGAACAGAAGCAAAGTGATGAAAATGACAGGGCTGGTAATTTCCCTTAATATTAGACAGTATTTTTCTGCCCAGAGTAGTCTATCCTAACAGGCTGTAGTGAATGAAAATATTGTACCTGGTCTCTAAGGAGCACCATCCACAGTAAGCATCAGCTGCAGCCAAGCACTCTGTACATGTAGCATATTGATCACATGCCGCTACTTTCACACGGGCTATCTGTACAAGAAAGAAAACCAAAGGTAACAATATATTTTAAAGAGTAACATGTTCAGAAATGCATTAGTCTGTTAAACAACAGCTCTTATTGAATCACTGACTGGACCTCAATTAGTATAGAACTTGTTTGACAATTCTGTGCCTTGCAAGATTGGGAGTGGCATTCTAATTTACACTGCCAGAGCTGTAATTTAAAGTTTGCTACTCTGAGCTGATTGTCCCGTCCTCATTTTGAAACTTGCTTTAAAGAAGCAAATCTGGTCTTGGGCAGCTGGCTGTGGATTCTGGAATTCTTATGTTTCTTCTACATCACTTGCAGCTCTGTAATGCCCACCTTAAGGAAGATGGGTGTGGAGTTGAAACATAATATGATTATGTTTTTCCCCCCAGTGGTCTATTAAAGATATCACTAACCCTTCGAATACTAACAAAACCTGATAATTTATGTGGAACAGTGAACTTCTACAAGTTTGTGCCACTTCATATCTCCCTCATATTTCATTCTTCAGTATTTTTGATCCACTCATAGTATTAAGAAAGTATGTGTTACCTGATGGGAAGTCATGAGATACAGGTAGCTGGAGTCAGAAGGATCAAATTGCATGATGGGGTGGACAGGTTCACTGTAAGCCACAGTAACTGACTCTCTGCTTATCACCTCCATAGAACTGTTCAGGTTAATCTGTCAGGGAAGCAATATATTTCATAAGGTCACCAACTTTGTTTTGTTTTGTTTGAGAACAAAGAAGGGGGAAGAAAATGAGTAATTTATTTTGGAAACTTTAAAGTCAAATATGAATTGGTCGGCCTATATTATTTCACACTGCAAGATAATATTTTACAGCATGCGTGCACGCACACGCACACAGAGAGCAATATAAAGCGAGCCATTTCCATAAAGAGAACATTTCCTGGGGAACTAGAAGAGGAATAGCATTGACTAGATTTTGTAGAAGCGATGCAATTTAACATCTGTGAAATGAAAGCAGAAACTAACTTGATTACTTCCTTTAATCTTCATCACAGTAACAATAGACAAGGTGGGAAGCCTAGGAGAAAAGGGCAGAGTTGGTGACTAACACTCCTTTGCCTAAGCTGGAGCTGCCATCGGATAGAAACTGTGGAAGAAACATAGTGCTTTTAGCCTGGAACTATTTGATCATGTGGTGTCATAATTAGGCAAGGCTTAACAAAAAAAAAATACATGATTGCGTCACCGTGTCTTGGCCAAGGAGATCTGTCTTTTTACCAAGCACTTTTCCACAGTATTGGAAGTACTGCTGTTACTTTACATACTGCTTTTTCCATTAATGAATCTCTTGAATGTGACATAGATAATGGCCCGTGTGAAATGCCCTTCTGGGGTATACTTTATAATTTACCAGATCAGATTAATTCCCTATGTGATAGGAAGCCATAATTGCTGCTTGGGGAACCAGCTGTACGTTGCTCATGCCTCTTTTACTGTCTTTTCTTGGATGAGAAACCTGAATTATAACTCATATCAAGTATTCTGTATTTCATGCCAAGTAAGAAGGAGCCCCTGAGGTTAAAAAAAAAAAGCTTCTGGTTGTGCAGCTGTGTAGTAGAATTAGATTATCGCTATCTGAGCAAATTACCGCAGCAAAGAGCAGCCAGGAGCCTTTCTCTAATGGATGTTCGGCAGATAAGACAGCCTTTTCTGATATGATAATGGAAGAAGAGCTGTTGCTACTGTGTGAACACAAGTTGTGTGAGGAATGTATCTGCACTCACTGCCTTGTGTTGTTGACTCTTGATTTCAGAGGCCCAGCACTTTGTGCTGCAACCTGAGCCTCCAGGCAAATCTCAAACCAGAGGACCTGGGAGTGTCCACTGTCCGGCTAGGAACATTTGGAAAACAGGGAAAGAAATTCGATTCTCTTCTGTTCTCATCTTATTCTGATCTAATATGCCACATTATGTGTTATTATCTCCAGACTGACGTAAAGCAGATTCTCGTCATGTCTTTCCTTAAGGGGTGACATCGACTTAATAGGTTTACTATTGAAGCAGTTCTACTGCATGCCTACTCTGACCAGCCGATGCCAAACTTTTGTTTCTTCAACAAGTGGTATATACTGCACAATATTGTGCCTGCACTGCCAGCAGGAAAAAGGATGCTAAGCTTTACATAGCAAAGGGCAGCCTCAGTTCTGCCAACATCAATGGCAGCAGTCAAGATGGTCTTCTGCAGCGGCGGTCCCCAACCTTTGTGCTGCCCTTTGTGCATGCACACAAGCATGGTGCTCTCAGCGGGTGCACGTGCACTCGTGAGCCTGTGAAAAAGGCAGCACAATGCTCGTGCAGGCATGGGCTCATGCAAATGCACAAAGAATGGCGCAGCGCTCAGGGGCACTCGTGCACATGTGCAAAGGGTGGTAAAGTGTTCATGTGGGCACATGCGCATGCGCACAGGTGCAAATGAGCTGTGTGGGGGGAGTGTGTGCAGGGGTGGGGGGGAGGTCTGTCTCTGCAGACTGGTCCAGCTCAGGCCACGGACTGGCACTGGGCCATGGACCGGGGGTTGGGACCTCTGTTCTACTACAGGATACTTTCTTCTGCTCACTGCCATTCACATTTGTTGAAAAACAACCCTGACAATCCCTTTGTATTTCTCACAGAAATGATTGTGAACAAGATTGGCAATTTTTGAGCATTAGTTTAGTGAACTCCTTGCAGTTTTACAGGCTCAAATTAAAAGACATTCCCCTAATCATGGTAATCTGTAGAGTCACAGCTAGAACAGTGTTTCATTAAGGCTAATGAAAAAGGCAGGTAAGTGAAGAAGACGAACAGGGGGA